GTTCGTTCCCCACCATAGACACCTGCGGTCCAGAGTTTTGCAAATATCTCAGCAACGTTGTGGTTGTATTTCGCTTACTAATTTGTATTCCACGAAGTGATAGAGGTCTTGGTTTGCTTATCGTGTTGAATCGTACCAACGAGCATTTGGGTATTCTAGGGTTCGTCTAATCACTAAGCCTGTCATTCTTGACGTTCTTTACGGTTTTTCAAATCTTGGTTTTAGTATACATCTGTTATAGATAGGAGGACAAAAGCGTTTGATTAAAAGAGGATAGTTGTGGAAAATATTGGCGGTTTTTGATATGTATCTGATAAATTGGAAGCAGGAGTTTATTTGTTTAAACTATTAGCTGTCCAACCGGCTCAGATACACTGATTGGGTACCCTGCAAAAATAAGATAATGTGATCAGTTTTTTGCAAATATACATGGAAACCGTAGTTACGGTAATAAAAGATAGTTTTAAAGCATTCCATTAAATTATTGGGATAAGGTAAGAGCACCATGGCAAGTAATCCATAAACGTGGTGAAAGCAACACTTAATGTTGTTAGATGCTGCTCTCAGCTTTCAAGATGCTTCTTTCCTTAAGCGTCAATTTTAAGAGTGTGGACTGAAAGCAGAGAAAATATAGGCGGTGCTATCCTGAATGTTTTCAGGTGTTCCTTGCCTTCATTCATAATTTCTTCGTAGATTATAGAAAATCGTTATCATCTCTGAGGAAACGTAAAGGACTCTGTGAGTATTTTCTGGATACATTAATCTTTGTGTGGACCTTAATTTTTATATAATTTTAAACTTTTTTTTTCATATTTGGTTCAATTCATATTGCTGCGAGTGCTGTTGGCATGTAACCTTAGAAAAATCACTACAGAAATGGTCACAAGGACAAAATCATCTATAGTTAGGAATGTTCGGCATTATAAGAAGATAGAGATTTCTTCCTTTTTCTTTTCTAGCGAAAAGCGAATGGTTGGTGTAAATGATGCCTTTCTTGAATTATCCTATCATTTGAAATATTTTAATGTTATAGAAGTTTTTCTAGTAGTACTACTAGCATATTTGTCTGACATTTCACTGGGTATTCTTTATGTGAGCCTAGTATAGAAAGGGTAAAACATAAGGCTCTAGTTGTTGGTCAGTTCTCCCTGAGGGATACGCCATGCATTCGCCTTCACCAAGCATCGTTAAGTGATGCATATCGAATGTCACATGTCGAATGCATATCTGGCCTTTACAATAACTCTCGGTGGCCTACCAAAGTATCGAACCAGTGCTGCTGTCCTCCCAGAAAACTGTGGTACCAATTTACCAACCCCAGAACGATAGAGGGCATGGTGGGCCTGATGCGCGGGGATCGATCACATGTGTATTGCAAGGCGTCTCCGACCACCGCGCTACATGCACTCCTCGAAGTCTCGTAGGAATAACGTATTCTAGATAGACTCTAGATAGACTATCTAGAAATAGCCTTTCTTGGTCGATGTCTATTGCAATATTGGCAGTGTGCAAAACTAGCGATTCAATACAAAAGACAAATTGCAAAAAGTACTTCAAAAAATGTGTGGTAAAAGAATGAACTGAGAAGAAAACACGTTTAATAATGAGAGGAACATCCCATATCACGGAAGCATGTAGGGGAATCTGATTTTCTGATTTATATGGAGCATCGGTATTGAGATTTTGCAGCACACGTTTGATTAAAGAGGGGAAGTAGGGGAAAAATATGTTCCAGTAGGTATTGGCTTGCGAGAATAGTTTTCTATCTATCAGTGCCATCAGTAGTCACCCGTCAACGGGATCGATCTGGGAAGCACTAATCGGCAATTACCCAGTTAAGCCGAAGCTTTTCGTATAAATCACAATGTCGTCAATTTTTATTTACTGCTTACTCTTTTGTAACCAGATGATGTTAAGAACCAGTTCTAATAATATGACCTAGTAAAATACGGTCTGTTCTTTGTTTTTATTCTTGTTGAGAACAGTTATGTGTTTTATTGATGTTCTACAATTTTGTAGCTGTTGTGAGTCTTCTGGTTATCACGAAACCATTTCGTGAGAGCGTCCATCTACTACATTCATTGTTCTGCTCGTGGTTTGAGATTTATGAATTTGAATGGATCCATGTAGAACTGGCATGGAACAATTTATTTGCTCTAATGAACGATAATTCTGGACTAAGTGAAGCTGAGGTAACTATATATATATATATATATATATATATATATATGTATGTATATATATATATATATTATAGGCACGTATATATATTTGTATATATACATGTATATACATAGACATATATATGGATTTCTCTCTAAAGTGATGAAGACTGAGTCATGAGTAGTTTTTTAGACTATAGTAATTCCCAAGACCGACTTTCTGTTAACCTCGGCATTAATTGATAATTCAATGTTTTTCATCAATAAGCAGACACGAGGTTGTTAATATAGAATTTATTAGAACACAATTGCTGACGTTTCGGCGGTTTC